TGAGGCTGGGAAGTCCAAAGTCCATCTGGTGATGGTGACAGCAACACAGGGGTCTCACATTGCAAGATGGTGGAAGCAGACAGAGCAGAGAGAGAGAGAAGGCAGTCTCTCCTCTTCTTTTAAAGCCCTCAGAACCAGACCCTTGACCACTGATTTTAATCCATTCACTACTGCATGGTCGTACAATCCAATCACCTCTTTAAGGCTCCACCTTTCAATTACCATAATAGGATTCCCACTGTATTAGCCCATTTCTGTTGCTTATAACGGAAAAATGGAACTGGGTGATTTATAAAGAAAACAAAATTTATTGCTTACACTTTCTGAGGCTGGGAAGTCCAAAGTCCATTTGGTGGTGGTGACAGTGAGCCAGGGGTCTCACATTGCAAGATGGTGTAAGCAGAGAGAGCAGAGAAAGAGAAACAGACAGGCTCTCCTCTTCTTTTAAAGCCCTCAGAACCACACCCCTGACCACCATTTTTAATCCATTCGCTACTGCAAGGTCCTATAACCCAATCACCTCTTCAAGGCCCCATCTTACAATTACCATAATAGGATTTCCCAAACTCTTGACTGTCACAGTGGGGGCTAAGTTCCTAATACATAAAACTTTGGGGATATGATTCAAACTTCAGGGAGTTATGGGGGGACATATTTCAATCCACTACATATTGTGTACACACACACACACACACACACACACACACACACACTACATTTTGTTTATCCATCATACATAGATGGACATCTGGATTACTTCCATCAGATGTTGTGAATAATACTGCCAGTGAACATGGGTGTGCATATCTCGTTCAGATCCTGCTTTTAATTCTTTTGGATATATACCCAGAAATGGGATTGCTGGATCATATGGTAATTCTATTTTTAATTATTTGAGAAGCTTCCAATTCCATAATGTCTGCATCATTTTATATTCCTACCAATATGCACGAGGATTCCAATTTGTCCACATCTTAACCAATACTTATTATTTTATTTTTATTTTCTGGGCAGCAGGCCAGTAGTGGAATCTGAACCCATGACCTTGGTGTTATGAGGCTGCACTCTAACTAACTGAGCTAACTGGCCAGCCCATATTTTATTTTATCTTATTAATTTATTTATTTAAAATATGACTGGTAAGGGGATCTTAACCCGTGACTTGGTGTTGTCAGCGCCACGCTCACCCAGGTGAGCCATGGGCCGGCCCTCTGTAGGTTATCTTTACACTTTATGGATTTTTTCCTTCCATGCACAGAAGCTTTTAAGGTTGATGTTGTTCCTCTTGTCTACTTTTCCTGTCGTTGTCCCCATAGTCTGACTTTTAACCACTGTGACCATTATACCATTTTGCCCAGCCCAATCACACTACATAGTCACCTGCACAGAATGTATAGCTGTGAAACAATAAGAAATTTATAGGTTGTTTTCGGCCCTGTTTCTGGCACAGAGCTCCTAAACCCCTTGTAATTTTCCAAGCAATAAGGGTACTAAGAACATCTTTTGTTACAATATTTGATCTTTGACCCTGGTTTCTGACACAGAATGCCTAAATCCCTTGGAATTTCCTGGATGATAGGAATGTCTATTGTTCTGATGAGGCAGCTCTTGGTGGGTTCCCAGATAGCTTCAGGATGGGGGCTGGTCACTAGAAAGACCAAGCCACAATTAGAAGCTTGGAACTTTCAGCCTCACCCCTCATCCTCTGGGGAGGGAAGAGGGGCTGGAGAGTGAATTAATAATCAATCACCTCCATAAAAATCCCCAAAAGACAGGGTGCAGAGAGCTTCCAGTTGGTAAACACATCCACGTGCCCAGAGGGTGGCGCACCCGCACTCCTTGGGGACAGAAGCTCCTGTGCTCAGGACCCTTCTGGGCCTTGCCCATGTACCTCTTCATCTGGTTGTTCATCTGTATCCTTTTTCATATCCTTTTCTATATAATAAACTGATAAACATAAGTCAACGTTTCCCTGAGTTCTGTGAGCCATTCTAAAAAATGATGAATCTGAAAAGGGAGTGATAGGAACTCCTGATTTACAGCCAGAAGTACAGAAGTACAGTAGGCCTGGACTTGTGATGGGCATCTGAACTGGGGGCAGTCTTGTGGCAGTGAGCCCTTAACCTGTGGGTTCTAATGCTAAGTCTTGTGGCAGTGAACCCTTAACCTGTGGGTTCTAATGCTAAGGCCAGGTAGATAGTGTCAGAATTGAACTGAATTGTAGGACACCAGCTGGTGTTGGAGAATTGCTTAGTATGGAAAAAACACCATACATTTTGTGTCAGCTGTTTTGAGAACGTATATAGAGAAAAAAGTGTTTTCCTTCTTTTAACACATTTTAAATTGCTCCACGGATTTCTTACCAAAATTATTTCTTGCTCTTGAACTTTCTTGTGTGTGTGGAGGACAGGGGTTAAGGGTAGGGGCAGGGGGATAGACTTTCTTGAGGCATATTAAGAGGCTTTCTTGGATTGAGTGTTTCCCACAGATAACTACCCCGTTTTGTTACTGTTGTTTAATGTTGATTCTTATCGGTTGCAGATTTCAAAGCGTCTCTTTATCTTGTCTGGGTCAAAACTCATTTGGACCTTTCTGTGTACTGGCCAGTGAAGCAGCACAGGGAGTGGAAATAGCACTGATCTGAGAACCTAGTTGTGGGCTCTGCTCCCAGCTCTGCTTCCTGGCGTTTTCTCCCATCCATTTCCTCACCAGCACAAGAAACTCTCCCTCAGGTTTTCACAAGGACATGAGGGGATACGTGCTAGAGAGATATATCTGCAAAGTAGATTCAGCTTCTAGTTTCATTTGTTATGCATTGTTTAGCAGAACAGAATCTGGTAACTGATGATAGTTGCATGAGAAGATGAAATAATTTCCTTCCTCTTTTCTAAGTTTATCTCCTAAACCTCACTGGATTCTGGACCAGTTCTGGAATGACTTTGGAGTACCAAATGTTTCAGAATATACATCCTGGCAGACTGTGGCTGCTTCAACCACTGACAATTTTGCTGCTGCTGGGTGAGTGAGGGTCATTCTGAACAGGTCAATTTCAGACTCCTACTGTCCAGACTTTAGGGACCAGTGTGGTGAGGGATAGGCCTGGGCCCTGGAAGCTGAGACAGATTGAAAGAGGAGAGAGGACCCTGAATTCTTACTGTTCTAATGGTTCCTAAAGTCAGAATTCAGTGGTACTTTCACAGTCCCTGGGAAGTCCATTCTGTACCAACATTCATGTTTACTTTGTCGCCACGTGGAGGGACAGGGATGAGATAAGGAGGAATGAGAAATGAATACTTTTATAAGAGATCAATTGGAAACAGGCTCTTGAGATGGGTCCTGGGGAAAGAAGGAGCCAAAATCATCCCCCTCTGCCCACACACAAAACTAACTTTGTTCTCATCTTTTCCTGCTCCACATTGATCTACTCTTTTCTCTTTTACAGCTTCTGATAGGCGAGCTGGTGAGTTAGCTCTTTGCTTTTTTGTATTAATGTGTTACTTCCCCATAATGTGATACTGTATTTACTATGTAGGGATATATCTGTTTCACCAAGAATCAGGCTTGGGTTCAGCATGGACACTTCCCCCATTTCACTGGGGCCTGGGATTTAATTCTTTTTAGATTCCTGCTGGTCCATCAAAGACCCAGAGGATAGGCTGCTGCAAAGACACAGATCTTTAACTGAGTCTACAGTAGGACTTTCCAGTCCCTCCAAGATTATTTATTCACATATCCTTCTGCTCTTTGCCCCTCAGCTGCTCTCCCAAAGGCTATGGTGAAACTCGAGCCCCCGTGGACCCATGTGCTCCAGGAGGACTACGTGACTCTGAGGTGCCAGGGGGCCCACACCCCTGGGAACAACTCCGCCCAGTGGTTCCACAATGGGAGCTCCATCCCCACCCAGGTCCAGGCCAGCTACAGATTTAAGGCCAAGAGAGATGACAGCGGGGAGTACAGGTGCCAGACAGGCCAGACCAGCCTCAGCGACCCTGTGCATCTCGGTGTGCTTTCCGGTCAGTGGAGGAAGGGCCCAGGGAGGGTCTGGGAGGACCAGGACAGATGAAATCTGCTTACACTACAGAGGTTTGCAAGAAATGGGGGTGGTCTGTTTACTGGGAAGTATCGCTGTGAGTTGTCCAATCATTTCTCTTTTCACCTACTTCCTTGGCTTAATATGTGTGGTGGGGGTGGAAATTCCTAAGAAATTCCTCAGCATATATTAAAGGTTGTTTTTGACTCAATCCTGATTGAAGAAGAAGGTTACAAGGCCACAAACAGGCAGCTGAGTACGAAAGAAGCAGAAGGTGGGCCGGCCCGTGGCTCACTCGGGAGAGTGCGGTGCTGATAACAAGAAGGCCCCGGGGTTCAGATCCCATATAGGGATGGCCGGTTGGATCGCTGGCTGAGCGTGGTGCTGACAACACCAAGTCAAGGGTTAAGATCCCCTTACCGGTCATCTTTTAAAAAAAAAAGAAAAGAAAGAAAGAAGCAGAAGGTACTACTTCATAAAACCACCTTACTCTAATGGCAGTGCGGTAAACCACGGAGGCTGGAGGCAAATAGACCCACAAAGGCCCTAAGGTGGGAGCTGTCTGACAAGTGTGAGGAGGTCATTCTGCCTGGAGTGCAGGAGGCCAGAGGGTGGAATCCAGTCTGGAAGATGAGGCCAGAGGTGAGGGGGAGGGGAAAGGCTAGATCGTGTGGAGGCTAGTAGCCTGTTGCAATGACTTTGACTTTTATTTCTAAATGAGATGAGAATTCACCAGATGGTTTTAATTAAAGGAGTAATGTGATTTGATTTAGGTTTATAGAANGGAAGAGCCATTGTACTCTGCTAGGTCAAATTTCCTGGCTCCTACCTTTATGTATGTGTGTACACATATGCACGCACATACACATATTTGTACCCTTCCCTTATTTTTTTCTAGAAGAGGGAATCTTATTTTTTCAAAGAAGAACAAATATTGAGTCAACCTCAAGAACCTGCCCAATGACATCTCAACTACCCATCTCCTCTCTTTGTGTATTACCTCTCCAGGAACAGCCAATGGTACTTCTGACTCTTCCTATAAAGATATAAAAATAAAGATAACAAAACGCCTGTGGGTCTGTGTCTTTACGTGGCATTCTCCTCTCCATATGTCTGTGTCCAAATTTCCTTCCTTTTTTAAGGATACTGGTCATTAAGATTAGGGCACACCCTAACCCAGTATGACATCATCTTAACTGTATTACATCTGGAAAACCCTATTTCCAAGTAAGGCCATATTTGTACTATGGACTAAGACTTCAACACATTTTTTTTACAGGGCACAGTTCAACCCATAACAGAAAAGTATATTTTGTTTTAAAATATTTAAATATATAACTCTTTTTTTTTTTCCTTTTTGTCTTTTTTCGTGACCGGCAACGGATCGCAACCCTCAGTGTCGCGCCCGTACTGGACCGGGACCGGCAACGGGATCGCAACCCTCGGTGTTGCGCCCGCACCTCGCTCAGCCAGTGAGCAGCTGGTCTGTATGTGGGATCCGAACCCTCGGTGGGAGCGCCACCGTGCTCCCAAGCGGCGCACTGTAGCAGTGCGCCACCGGGCCGGCCCTAAATATATAACTCTTAAGTTGTGAAATAATTTGTGAATGCAGTGTTTTCACAGAGTTAACATGAAGTGAATTTGATGAAGAGTAATGAAAGATAAGAGAGAGAATTAAGCTTGGGCTATTGTTGATTTTGATGTATAGGAAAAGCCAAGCCTCAACTACGGATCTCTAGTCATCTCTCTTGAAGTCCATGGTAGTTTGGAACCCTCCATTATTTTTGTTACCTCCCTACCTCCACTCCCCAGTTGGACTCCAGTGTGCTCTACATATATATAGCCTTCTCTTTTGAGAGAAGCCATGAAGTGGTCAGAATAGATCAACATACTTTAAGACCAGAAGAATTAATTTTTCTGGCCAGGCCCTTCACTGCCACAGTATAAAACTCAAGATCCCTATAACAAGTAATAGTTAGAGATCACTCAGGTATTTTTCTTAGTCAGTGACCACTGTCAGCTTCTTTAAGTATTTCAGCTTTCCCCTGAGCTCCAGTTTCTGACTGGAGATTTCCTTATCTATCAGTCAGGGTTCCTAATTGAGGCCAACTGCATCTACTACAGCTAGTTTAAGTAGAAAGGATTTATTAGAAGATTTTAGAGTGTGTGTGAAGAGATCAAAGCTTTAGAGGGGTACAGACTCAAACTTTGGTGAAGGTAAGGAACACACAGTTGAAACACACAGCCACCTTGTGGGATCGTTCTAGCAACAACACTGCAATGGACTAAATGTTTGTGTTCTCCAAAAATCATATGTTGAAATTCTAACCCCCTAGTGTGATGGTATTAGGAGGTGGAGGCCTTTGGAAGATAATTAGATCATGAGTGGTATTAGTGCCCTTATGAAAGGGATCCCAGAGAGCTCTCTTGCCCTCTTTCTGCCACATGAGGATACAAGTGTGCAACTCCGAAGAGGGTTCTCGCCATGCTGGCATCAGCCTCCGGAACAGTGAGAAGTAAATTTCTGTTGTTCATAAACCACCCAGTTTATGGTACTTGGTTATAGCAGCCCAAATAGACTAAAACAGGGTTGGTGAAGCATTATTGAAGCTCCATTTTGTTGCTAATACAGTCAATGACCACCTGCCTTCACCTCCCAAAACTTGTTCAAAAGTTACAATTAAATAGGAATCCCCAAACCACAAATACTGTATTCACAACAAACTGAAGGTTTCGGCTCCTGTTCAGTAACCTCTATGGTTACTGAAATGCAGTCATTTCCCTACTCAAGTTTAGTGTTTTAAATTCCTCAAACATATTTTTATTATCTTCTCTTCATCTTTGGAACCTCTTGAAACTTCTGTCTTTCAGAAGTTCCACAGACATAACACTATATTTTTTCTCACACCTCCTTGAAGCATCTTCAGTGCCCATCATCCTTTCAAGTTCTACGAGGAATGTAGTCCTGAACATGAGGTTGCAAAGGTCTTGGTATCTAGCTTTAGAGCATTTCCCCCCATATTTTTGTCTTTCAGACTGGCTGCTGCTCCAGACTCCTCATCTGGTGCTCCAGGAGGGGGAAACCATCATGCTGAGGTGCCACAGCTGGAAAAACATACCTCTCTACAAGATCAATTTCTACCACAATGGAAAATCTATAAGGTTTTCCCATTACAATCACAACTTCTCCATCCCACAAGCAAACCACAGTCAGAGTGGTAATTACTACTGCAAAGGCCTTATAGGAAGGTCAGAGCACTCATCACAGTCCGTGACCATCACTGTCTGAGGTAAGGAGCTCTGTCTAGATGCAGGGAGTGGCAGTGCAGGGATGGACAGGGTTAAGTTCATATGGACCTATGTGGAGATCTGAGAAATGCCAC